TACAATAAAGGTTAAAATTTATTATTATCATGATTATGCCTTTATTCATTCATTTCATCATTTGCTCAATATTCTCCGGGATTCGACGATGTGATTTATACTGATTAACAGCCCACTCAGCAGCTACACCTTTTAGCCCTTTATCATATGCATCTATATATCTTTACGATTTATAGGAAAATTTGCAAATAGTAGTTACAGGAACACTCGCAAGAACTTCCGGAACAAGATTTACTAAATCCTTATAATTATAATTGCATAATCTTCTTGCTTCTTGTTTCATAAAACCTCAATATCGTTCGATAAAGTTACACTCACAATGAAACTTTGGATAGCATTCAAAAATGTGCTCTGCATTAATTACAGCTTCTTCTAACAGAGACCATTGTTCAAGAAAATCGGGCTGCAATGACATGATTCTTTGTGCGTAGCAATCCAACCTTTCTGGGCCATTATCAGTACATTTTCCAGAATATTTTTTGCATACTAGCAAAACCTTTCCTGCGGGCCAAAGTTTTCACTCTTCAAGCACTTGCCTCAAACCTTTTTACTTGCCTCTTAACTCCTCCTTATGATAATCATTCAGAAATACTATTGGTTGCATACATTTTTTCCAGTTTTATCAATAAACCAACTATTTCGCATCACCAGTTGTTTTCCTCCAGAACTCAAGTTCATCCTTTTTGCGATTAGTGCATTCTCTGCCATAGCGTTATAGTTAGTAGATTGATCGAAGCAAAACACACCGATACACCCGGGGTGCAATATTTCAAATGCTGGGATTACTTTATTCACAAGCTGGTCAAGCATATGCTCCGCCTTCCAATATCCATCCACCTGAACAGAACGAATCACAAATGTTTCTTTATCTTTAATATACGGATTTTCATATAGCTATTGGTCAGATAGGTGTAGTAGTCTGTGGCAAGGACACAAAAAAGCAGAGACTATTATAGAACGTCCCAGATGTTTTGGGCACAAAATATTTTTGCCTTTCTGAATCCAAATTCGTCACCGCCTATCGTTAGCATAGAAATAACACTCATCATGTGTTATTTGAATGTATTCTTTCTCCCCCAAATTGAGCCGAGATTCTAATACAAATTCTAATGACTCACCAACAAAATCTTTCATATTTTTTTATACACGAACATTCTCTTTACTCATTCATTCCTATACGCTACCACATCTGGTCTCTTATTGCCATCAAAATAAATACCCTTTCTTCTCTCATCATATTTAAAACCCCACGAATACATATAATTTCTACACGTCCTCTCTGATATAGTGTCTTTTTTGATATGGCCAATCAATTTTGGAAATAGTGTATCCTCAATATATGCTTTCAAATTACTAGGCGTACGTACTTCCGGTTTTTGTT